CAGCAATCCTGAGAAAAAAGAACAAAGTAGGAGGGCTCTTAATACTAGATATCAAGCTGTATTACAAAGCCACTGTTCTCAAAACAGATTGCACTGGCATAGGAATAGACATATAGATCAATGGAATAGAATAGAGATCCCAGAAATAGACCCAAACCACTATGCCCAATTAATATTTGACTAAGGAGGCATGAACATACAATGGAGTAAAGACAGTCTCTTCAATAAATGGTGTTGGGAAAATTGGACAGATACTTGCAAAAAAATGAACCTAGACCACCAACTTACACCATACACAAAAATAAACTCAAAATGGATGACAGACTTAAACATAAGATGGGAAACCATAAAAATCCTAGAGGTATCCATGGGCAGCAAAATCTCAGACATATGCCGAAGGAACTTCTTCACTGATACTGCTCCTAGGGCAATGGAAACTAAAGAGAAAATAAACAAATGGGACTACATCAAAATAAAAAGCTTTTTTACAGCAAAAGAAACCATCAACAAAACAACAAGAAAGCCCACTACATGGGAGAACCTGTATTTGCCAATGTTATCACCAATAAGAGTTTAATCTCCAACATATACAGGGAACTCATACAACTTAACAAAAAGAAGATAAACAATCCAATCAAAAAATAGGCAACAGACCTATTTAGGCACTTTTCAAAAGAAGACAGAAGGAAGGCCGAGAAACATATGTAAACGTGCTCAAAGTCACTAATTATCCGAGAGATGCAATTCTACAATGTAGTATCATCTCACACCTGTCAGAATGGCTGTAATCAACAAATAAACATAAGACAAGTGATGGTGAGGATGCAGAGAAAAAGGAACCCTCGTGCACTGCTGGTGATAATGAAGACTGGTGCAGCCACTGTGGAGAGCAGTATGGAGTTACCTCCAAAAACTAAAACTGGAACTCCCATTTGAGCCAGTGATTCCACTTCTAGGAATATATCCCAAGAAACTAGAAACATCAATCAGAAAGAATATATGCACCCCTGTGTTCATAGAAGCACAATTACATAAGCACCCCTATGTTCATAGCAGCACAACTCACCATAGCTAAGTTTTGGAAATAGCTTAAGTGCCCACCAGCAGATGAGTGGATTAGAAAACTCTGGTGTATCTACACAATGGCATACTATGCTGTGGTAAAAAAGAAGGAGTTCCTACCATTTGCAGCAACATAGATGGAACTGGAGAGCATTATGCTAAGTGAAATAAGTCAGAGAAAGATAAATATCACATGATCTCACTCATCTATGGGAAATAATGAACAACATAAACTAATGATCAAAAACAGATCCAGAGACAGTGAAGCATTTAAACCTCAGAGGGAAGGTAGGAGAGGGTGGGGAATAAGGGGAAAAGATCAAGCAAAGGACTTGTATGCATGTATATAAGCCTAACCAGTGGACACAGACACCAGGCACCAGGGGGGTGAGGGCATGAGTTGGGTAGGGGATGGTTTGGGAAGGTAATGGGGGGATAATGACAAATATGTAATACCTTAATCAATAAAGAAATTTTAAAAAGATAAATACATTTAGCCCATTTAAAAAAGAAAAAATAGAAATAGAATGATGAAAAATAATGCAAGAAAAAATAAAAATAGAGAAATATAAAAAATAAATATAGAAAAAGGTAAAAGACAACGAAGTAATAAAATAAAATTAAGTAAAATTAAAATTAAAATTAAAAAGTGAGGTTGTCATTGCTTTCTGCTGAGTGTTATGTCCCATGGGGGCCGGTTTAAGATCCTACTCTTCTGTACTGTCTACCACTTCTCAGTTCCCTTTTAGATTGTTGAAGTTCCAAGTAGTCCATTGCTCCTCTGTTTGTGTCTGTCTCCACAGCCTTGACTGCCAGCAGGCAGGACCCATCTTCCCACTCAGCCTTAATCTTTCAAGCTCTCAAGCAGCTGTTTCTGACAGGGCTATAGTTGGGAGATTGCCTTATGGCGTTTGGGGACTAAATAACCTATCTTCAGGCCAGTCTACGTCTCTCAGGGACTATTTAAAAATTTTTGTATCCTTTGTACCACTCGGGGTGTAGTCTGGGTGTGGCAGTATTGTTTGCCTGGAGACTGCAAGGAGGTGCTATCTCTTCAGGAGAAAATGGGTGCCCAGGTCCCACTAGTCAGGTATGTCCCAGTGCCAGACTCACAGCCACCTCTCCCCAAGCTGCTCCTCTCCTCAGACTCTACAGGTCTGCACCCCGCCGTGGGTGAGTGTTTATATTTGAAAGGTCCTATGAACTGGGTTTAGCGAAAAGCAAAGACCGAAGAGGGGAAAGAGCTGCGCCCCTGCGAGCCCCTCTCCCTCTGGCCCAGCGTGGCTTGGGCAGTTGTTCAGGCTGCCCTTTCATGGCTGTGGGCTTAGATCTGTAATTTCCTGTCACCCAGCCCTGTGGACTTCGCTTCCACAGTGAGGACACAGCATTGGTGCTGTGCAGTTTCCCTCTGACCCTCTGGCTCAGAGGTCTCGCAGCTCTCTCCAGCCCAGATCCCTGATTTTACCATCTCCAGGTGTCTTTTGCCCTTCCCAGCTGCGAAATGTCTCACCAACTGTGTCTCCTTTGCCAATTTGGGGTGGATGTTATTCGATTTAGTTGCTCCTTCTATCTACTCCAGGACAAGGCTCAGGACACGTCTGCCTCTTCTGCTGCCATTTTGTCTCTTCCATGTATTTTGTTTTAAAATTAAATTTATTGGGGGTGATGTTGATTAATAGCTTTCTATAACTTTTAGCTGTACAATTTATAAGGTCATCCATATACTCCACTGTGTACCCCCACCCAAAGTCTTGTCTTCCTTCATCACTATGTATTTGTCATGTCTTCTTTGTGGTTTTTAAAAAATACACATTTTTATTGATTTCAGAGAGGAAAGAAGAGGGAGAAAGAGATAGAAACATCAATGATGAGAAAGAATCATTGATTGGCTGCTTCCTGCATGCCCCACACTACGAACTGAGCCTGCAACTGGACATGACCTTCTGGTTCATAGGTGATTGCTCAACCACTGAGCCACATTACCAGGCTGTCATGTCTTCTTTTTTTTTTTTTCTCCCCTTTTTATTTATTTATTTATTTATTTTTTAATCAATCTTTATTGTTCATATTATTACAAAGGTTCCTCATTTCTTCCCCCCTCCACCAGGTTCCCACCCCACTCTCCGCCCCTTCCCCATCCCCCATTGTCCTCATCCATAGGTGCACAGTTTATGTTCATTCTCTTCCTCCCTCCCTTTCCCCGATAGTAAATCCCTTTTCAGATAGTAAATCAGTTACTTAGCATTTTCTCATATCAATAATACCTCCACATGCCCAATGATACACTTCACACAAAAGACATTTCCAAATAGGTCAACCAGCCTCATCCAGGCCCCACCCAAGGCATTCACAGATCAACACCCCAGCGCTATACTAACTCAACACATCCAGATCTAAGCCTTCATCACTTGATTCAGCAGACCCTCAAGTTCCCGCAAAAGTTTCCAGCCATGTCTGAGAGGCAGCCATGGGGCAGGGGCAGGCGAGGAGCGAGCTGTTCCGGGCCTGGCTGCTCCGGGCCTGGCCTCTGTTGCTCTGGTTCGTTCCACAACCAGCTGCTCCAGGTCTCGTCACTGCTGCTCCCGACCTAGTTGCTCTGGACTTGGCTGCTGCTGCTCTGGGCCTGGCCGCATCCGACCCGGTTGCTCCGGGCCTGGCCGCTCCCAGCCTGGCAGCCGCTGCTCCGGGCCTTGTCATGTCTTCTTTTCATTGTAACACAGTCTGTTTTGTGAGAGCTGAAAAATTAATTATTTAAAAATCCATATAATTTATTTTTTATCAGTCACATGAGACTAACTATAGGCCCATGTTATTCTAAGATGTAAGTTTTTCAATAGTTGAAGCGTTTTTTAGAAAACAACTGAATATTTGGTATACATTAATGCAAGGTTTTTATAAAGTCTAGTACTTTGTCACAAAACTTAGAGGCCTGATGCACCAAAATTCATACAAGGGGGCTCGGCCCTCGCAGCTCTGGCTTAGTCCAGAAGGTGGTTTGGCTGTCTGGTCTAACTAGCATATTATACTTTTATTATTATTAAATTGAAAACATGGTTAAGCACGAGTAATATTAGCATTGTCCCAAATGTCCTGTTGTGTAATCATATTTAAACAACAATATAGTTAGAGACATTAAAGCTGTTGTTGTATAGCCATAAAATCCTGGATTTATGCCCAGAATAGGTAGTTATTCTTAGTGAGGTAAGTAAGCAGAAAGAAGGAAATAAAAGGTAATTATGTTGATTTGTTTTGGGGATATAATATTCCATGATTATTTAAAATCAAGAATATTTTTGGAATCTGCATTTTTTTTCAGAATATTGTGTTATCTTAATTGCTTAAGTATCCCTATGAGGCATAGATAACTATATATAGCAATAATAGATACTTTGTTTAAGCAAAAATATTTGAGATATGAGTAGGCTATTTTACTGTCCCAGATGGAGCTCTCTATACAGTAGAGAGGGGATAATGTTCTGTATAAACCAATCAACTTAGCACCTCATACTCTTTACTTTGAGTAACATAAGACCATTCTCTGAATAGAATTTTTTTTTTTATCTATGCCCACACACAAATATATAATTTCACATTTATCAACTGGGAGTAAAACTGGATATTTTTCTCTCCAATTATATTCTTTTAGATTAATTAGAATATGTACACTAGTTATGTCCTATCACTTCTCAGCATATTTATGTACATATCAGCCTTTTATTTTTAAAATGTTATGTGTCACGTTGATAAGTATTTTTGTATTATTATTATAAAAGTCAATTCTTTTTGGCAGTGGTTCTAAAAGACACTTTCTTAATGAGTGTGAGATTATCCCAACTGGGAGCTCACCTCAGTCCTCTTTGAAACTTCTAGTGATGCTGAAACTCAGGGCAGTGCTCTGTGCTTGACCTGCCCTTCACCTTCTCCCTATTGTCTTGTAGGCATTCTGGAATTTATCAGTATAGCCGTGGGCCTTGTCAGCATTCGAGGCGTGGACAGTGGACTCTACCTCGGCATGAATGAGAAGGGGGAGCTGTACGGATCAGTAAGTATTGTGAGAGGCTTCACAGACTTTATGTCTCACACTGGCTTGAATGCACTTTCTCTAGGTTGTAATAGCCTAGAGCTGTGGTAGGCAAACAGCAGCTTGCGAGCCACATGTAGCTCTTTGGCCCCTTGAGTGTGGCTCTTCCACAAAATACCATGGCTTGGGTGAGTCTATTTTGAAGAAGTGGTATTAGAAGAAGTTTAAGTTTAAAAATTTTGGCTCTCAAAAGAAATTTCAATCGTTGTACTGTTGATATTTGGCTCTGTTGACTAATGAGTTTGCCAACCACTGTCCTAGAGAAAACCGAGTCTGTTGGGAAGGAGAGTGTGAACTCTTTCACTTTTGGGGGGCAAATCATATTGTTTTTATTAATAGATATTATCCCTGGGTCTTCAGTAGACCAAAATTTCTAAGAAATGTTTTATCATATGCCAAACCATTTTCATATCAAATACATAAAAATTTATGTGTGAAAAAATGTCCCCCCCTCAATTTTTTTTCACCTTTAGGCATACAATGTGAATTTATGTCAGTCACAGTTGAACTCAATATAATGCTTTTTGTGTGTAGGATACAATCTGACCTTCATTGGATGGCAGAGACTATGGTTTGTCACAATGATCTCCAAACTTTTCAAATCATGTATCACCACCAAAAATGTTTTTTGTGTATGGATTTCAATAATGCATATTAAATTATTTCAAAACTAGAGGCTGGATGCATGAAATTTACGCAAGGGGCTCAGCCCTGGCAGCCACAGTGGCTGCTCCTACTTCGTCCAGAAGGTTGTCTGGAAGGTGGTTTGGCTGTCTGGTCTAATTATCATATTACACTTTTATTATTATAGATTATAAATATAAGATATAGTTCATAGGTGTTAGTTTATAAAACATGAATTAAGGTAAACATTTTTCAAGGATGCAGTGACTGAGTCAACACAAATAGAGTCTGGACTATTTATCCCCTGCTCCGGGGACCGACCACCTTGCATACCCTGTCAGAGCCCCTTCCCCTTTGAGAGATGACTCATCTTTCAGATGAAATGGCTGTGTGACAGCCCCTGCGGTTTGCTGTTTGACAAGGAACAGATGGAACTTTGTGTTCAGCACAGGAGCCTCCCATTTGTTGTCTGGGCTCAGCCTTGTCTCTTCTTCTGGATTCTTTGGGTGGCTTCCTCTCCTCTCAGTCAGCTGCCCTCCTGCCTGTGTGGCTCCCTCTGTAGCACAGACTGGGGACAGAGCGAGGGCTCAGTGAACACCAGGGACTGGAGTATCTGAAAAGGTGGCCAGAGGCAGAAAGTTGGAGAATCCCATTGTACCAGGTTTTCTGTGACTTCTAGCTGCTTTGTTTAGAGCACATGTGTCAAACACAAGGCCCGCGGGCCAAATCCGTCCCGCCAGGCCTTGCAATGTGGCCCTCACCGCGCTGTCATCACTGCACTCTGCTGCGTTTCCATCACAATGACAGTTTATGACTGTTCAGTAAACCATTCGGCCCGCGATTTAGGCTGGATTTTAGATTTTGGCCCCTTCTCTGATTGAGTTCGACACCCCTAGTTTAGAGCTTCTGGAGCCCCTGAGCAGGGATAAGAATGGACTTCTCACCTCCACTACCCCACAGCCATAGGACTAGTTGACAATCCTTATCACAGCAAAGGGGTCAATCCCAAAAAAGAAAAAAAAGAAAAAAGAAAAAAAAAAAGCTCTTCTTCCATGTTTGAGAAATGCATACCTTCTCATGTGTGTCTCCAGGCTTGGAGGAAAGTGTGACAAGGAACACTTTTCCATACAGTGATTTTCCTTTGTGGAAAAGTATCTTAAATGGCTTCTGTGCATTCTACCACTCTCATCTCTAGTTCATTCTCACCAGGAATGGGAGAATTACCTCCAAAACCCAGAGATGAATGTCCTTCTCAGCTCAGACCCCTTCCAATGCTTGCCTTTAAAGGCCAGTCCCCACATACTTTAGCGATACCATCAATATTATCACAAACACTATGCCAGTCCCATCTCTTGCCCTCTTTCCCCATGTATTTTGAGTTTTCCACTTACTGTTCTAATTTGTATGTGTGGTTGACTCCTTTCTCTGGCATGTCTTTCTCTGCTCTATCTGATAAAGCTGCATTCTTTCTTTAAGATTCAATGAAAATATTGCCTCTTTTATAAAAACCTTCACTACACCTCTAACTTGAACCCCAGTTATTTGGTTAGCAGTTCTGGTGTTTTCCTTTGGGCCTCTGTACCACTGTTTATATTTCCATGGCCACTTAAGTACAGTATGATATTCAGTGTTAATTGTATTTCTGTATTCCCTAATGTTACCTAACACATAGCTATGGCCCTTGTACATGATAAGGTGCTCAATATATGAATATTGGGTTGAAATGAATGAAACATTGTGATTCTTTTTATGCTTCATTCACCATATGGTGTGGACCTCATTGTGTGGCTAGTGTGTACTTAGTACTCTGCTGGAAGGAAGAATTGCTATCTTCCATTGCCATGCTGGATCAGAGGTGATAATGTGTCCACCCCCAGGGGGATATGGCTGAGCCTGGAGACAAAGAAAATGTAGTGATGGGAGCACGGGAACAGAAATCAGGAGACCTGGGCTCTTATTCTGTCTCTGCCACTAGTGAGGTGCTGGCCCTCACTCTCATATATAAAACAAAAAACATGACTTAGCTGTTTGGAACATCTCTTTCTACTTTGCATCTCAAGAGTTTATGGTTTGGCTTTTTCAGGTTCACTCATGAGTCTGAGCTGCGATGTTTTCTATGCACATTAAATGTTTGTGTAGTGAGCTCCTTTCCCTCCTACACACAGAGCTGGGAGGAAAACTCCCTGGGCAGCCAGGTTGTTTTTCCAGGGTCTGTACCTGATGCAGGTAAAGGGTAGAGAGAGGGTGACAGCAATGCTTCTCTATGGCCAGGGACCACATTGTCTATTGGCCTTGTGGTCATAACTCTTGGGAATGAGGAATGACCCAGACAGCTCATTTCATTGTGGTAAGATTCAGAGAAGGAAAGGAAAGAAACAGGCAATGATTCTACATTAAACTAAAAATTGTGAAGTTGTGTAAAGCTCAGTTAACTAAAGTGGAATTTTTATTTCTAAATATCAAGGAAATTTTGAAAAGAAGTTTACCTTATTAAAGAAGGTAAAGAGATTTGGAAAAATAGCAGACACTTGTATAAAGTAAATGAATGTGTAAATGTAGCAGAAATTAATTAAAAATATATCTTGGAAATTGGGATTGTTTCTCTTTTTATCTATGTAGTTCTTTTGTTTTCAAGTTTATGGGAATGGATTTAAAAGGTTAGAAGTGAATGAATTGATATTGCTTCAGAATAATGTACATCTAGGATTCTGGTTTCCTATTAGAAGGTGGAAGTAGGAAAAAGTATATTTCTGTGTATCATGGTGTGTGGTTTGAGGAAACCTGAATAATTCTAGTTCTGAGGTGGAATTAGATTATTTTATTATATGTTAGTCATTCATTCACTCATTTGCTAAATTATTCACAAACATTTGTACCTATAATATTATGTTCTAAGTGCATAATACTGCAACAAATATCTTAAAACCTGAAAGGATTATAAGTAGTTCAGTGCAATGTGAAATGCACAATATTAGAGAAATGCAGGGGTGTCTTGGGTGCCCAGAAGAGTATTTGGGGAAATTGAGTAGTTACATTTAAACTGGATTTTGAGGGATGAATAGGAGTCTCAGAAAAGGACTGACAGACAATTTAGAGCACATAAGCCTTCAACTGTAAAGATTAGGATATCCTGTGTCGGTGAAGTTTAAGAGAGAGTGGTAATCTCTCTCTCTCTCTCTCTCTCTCTCTCTCTCTCTCTCTCACACACACACACACACACACACACACACACACACACACACACACTCATACTCATACCTGGCCAGAAGATTAAAATATTAGAGTATGTTTACATTTGCCACTTTTGTTCTTATTAAAGAGACCATAAGTGAGGCTCAAATAGTTATTTTTAGGGTCTTACCCCAAATTATCTGAATGTTCTCAAGATACTTGACTGTGGTAAATATCTCATTATAAAAGAATTTTAATAAAAATTAATTTTTAAAAAAAATCTTGCATTTAATGAAAAATATTTGATGTTTTCATTAAAAAAAAGGTAGCACAATTACTAAAATTGTGATGATATAAAAAATACAGCATGGATTCTGTAAAAGTGATATGAAAGGACGACACAGATTCCTGGTTTGTATCCCTTTTATAGCTCTTACTTCATTCTGTCCAGAATTTTAATTCCTTCGTCTTTCCCACTGGACTTATGTTTTTTGGAGTCAGAGTCTTTGTATCTATAATATTTCTGTTTCTTGAAGGCTCAGCAGTGCACATATGTGCGATTGGCACTTGGTTTCGTGACCCAACTACTCATCCTGTCACAGCCCTCGCACAGAGTCTTGCTGCATTTGAATTTCATGTGTTAATACATGACCTAGTATGTGATTGTCCACTTATAGAGTCCAGTTTTTCTATAAGAGTTGTCTTATTTAACTATTAAAACTGAAGGCAAAAGAAGTTGAGTGACAAGCTCAAAGCCCAGAATTCATAGGTGGTACAGTAGGGACTTAAGGTAATTCTTGAAAGGACCTGGCCACCCTCCTGACAGACATGTTTGTAAAGTAAGTGTTTACTCACTTTAGGATTTGGTGGTTATATTTCCAGAGATGCAGTTGGGCCCTGTTTATGTGAATTCATGTAACCAATAACTGAGGTTTGGTGGATTTGCCACGTGTATAGTCTTAGAGAAAAGTAAATCCAGTAGTTGGGGTGGCTGTCTTTACTGAATAAAGAGAGTTACATGAGCCACCAGCTACTAGAGGGGTGTTTTCACAATGTGGGGAGATGTGAGGGGCCCTGGAGAGCCACCTGTCCTAGATCGAAGAACTGTATCCACCCCTTTAAAAGGAAAATATATCTCAGGTCCTTAGAATCCCATATTGACTTAG